TAAGGAAGACTGAAGAAGAATCAATGCATCTGAATTATTGGAAAATTTGCTGGAGCAGAATACTGAAGTACCATGAACTGCTAAAAGGACAAGCAGTTCTTGAAAGAAGTACATCCAGTGTGTTCCTTGAAGGCAAGGATGGCAGGACGTCACCTTACATACTAGATTTACCTCATTTGAGATACATATACAGAAAAATATACAAGATCAAGACAGAATACAAATGGCCCAACAACGACACAATGAAAATAAAAAACACCTCAATCTATAATAAAGCAGAAAATATTAAAAACTAGAGCAAGCATATTTAAGTCAAGAGGGAGATCAACGACCAGGTGTCACATGTTGACCTACCTCCAATTGCAGTAATCCACCTTGCCATGTACTCTGTCCTGTAATGGGGCCTTCCCCACCTCTGGTCCATAGTCAGAGGGTACTCACCACTGGCTTCAGCCATATCAGACACCTTGTGTGCTAGTCTGGGTTGACTAGAAACAAATCCAGAGGCACTCAAATATGTATAAGAAAGAGCTTTATATACAATAGTTGTATTGAAAAAACATCCCAGCCCACTCCAAATCAAGTCGGAAAGTTTGATATTAGCCCATATGTCTGATACCAATAAAGTGCTCTTCAGACTCATGAAACACATGCAATGACACTGAATGCAGGAAGATCACCGGCCAGTGGCACTGTAAGCATCTCAGTGCTAGCAGGGGTCTCCACATGGCTTTTCAACTCAGGGCACTAGCATAGTTCCATGTGCCTTGCCAGCTGCTATGTGAGCAGAGAATGTGTCTCCCGCCTCCAAGGAGGAAATACAGCAATTCCCAGAATCCTCAGGGGAAGGCCATGCCCACACAGACACTTCATTTGCTACAGTGATTGACAGGCTAGACTCCACCCCTTCACTCATAATCCTTTCAAATTGACAACAGATTATATAACCACCACGCCTTGCAAATAAACTTTTCACTGTCATCTGTAGCCTTCTGCAAACTGCTTGTTCAGAATGTAAACTCTAATATCATTCCCTACTCTGGGTTTGAATTTCATTGTTTACAATCCCTGGATCACACATGCTGGTGGGCTTCTTCCATATGGCCTAGCCAATGCCTCATTTAGAAGTCTGCTTGTTTTAAGGTAGTCTTTGCAACCCCAGTTGCTACTCTTTCTGATAGCAAGTGTGCTTTCTTCACACTTTGCTACACACCTATATCTTCAGTATGTAGCAGGAACATATCATAGGAGCTAATTGTTCTTAGATCGGGGCTAAAATTAAAGGGGAGCTCCAAATTCATTCATATACCTACAGTTGATAAATGTCAGGGTTTGCTTTAAAGAGAACATTGTCGTTTTATTGAAGAACATTATCAATTATCCCCCTCGGACATATGGTGGCTGCTGTTATTGTTGTCCGGGGCCATGAGGTCAGTGCTGAGCCTAGAGATCCTATGCACACTAGAAATACTGTCCAGTCCTGAGCCCTCCTCACAATGGTTCCTCCCTGGAGCCCATTGTTGCAACCATGGTGTCATTCCATGGCCTGGAGGGCCTTCGTTTCCACTGCTCCTCCACTCTGCTAAATGATGCCCTTCTCTGGGGACTGCCCTCTTCTGACCACATGTCCACACGGAAAACTGCTCTTTGGTGGTTGGCAGAGATGGGAGAGGAAATCTTTTTCTAGACAGCAGACACTTGTTATGGGCGAAGTCTGCTCAGCTTGATTAAGATGAGCAATGACACTACGAAGCCCACAGGATGAGAGATGATTTGGCTAAAGTCTGTAACATGTACTACGTTGTGCGTGAGAGCTAGAGACAAAGGCAAACCAACCAACGGTCAACCCACCAATCAGCCACCGTTGCTGTCTTAGTTAGCTACATCTTGGGGCTTCAAAATGTTGCTGGGAAAAATTCCATTATCTTTTTATTCAGTTTTTCCCAAAACATTTTTATGCCCCTTTGTAAGATCGGGCTTTATCTTATTTCTGTATTTGAATATGCATTTATTTTGCTTTCTGCTACAAGACATAAGGCGAGAAGGAATTGTTTCCCTCCTCTAGGGAAGAGGCCAAAGCCCAGCATGTGGCACTTACTATGTGCCTGGCCAGGTCACTTCACCTCCTTGACCCTCAATTTCTTCACCTGTAAAGTGAGGGTAGCATTCGCCCTGCCTCCCTCACATTTCACAAATACATGGGGTTCAAATAAAGCAATATATGGGAAAGGACGGTGAATGCCCAAGGCATTTTTCAAGTCTTTTTTTTTTTTTGTCTAACAAGATGAATTTTATTGAGCAAGCATTTTTGACTTTTTAATTAAACCATTTTATTGGGGGCTCTTGCAGTAATCCATACATCAATTGTTTCAAACACATTTGTACATGTTGCCATGATTTTCAAAACATTTTGTTTCTGCTTGAGTCCTTGGTATCAGCTCCTTTTTCACCTCCCTCCCTCCCCCACCTGCCCACCCTCATAGAAAGTCTTGTTTCTCTGACGTCTAGAGAATAGTACTCCCCTGACTCCCACAAGTGAGTATATGGGCCTTTTTAACCATCACCTTTTCAGCAATAGTCTTGTTCTATGGTCATAAAGTAATAAGTGAGTATATGGGCCTTTTTAACAATCACCTTTTCAGCAATAGTCTTGTTCTATGGTCATAAAGTAGGAGTTAAATTGAACTGTTATTTGTGAACATTCTTTTTGTCTGGAAGTCTTCATTTGTGGGAGTCAGAAAGATCGTAAGTACTGCTCTTTCCCTAGCTTCAGCATTAGATGGGGCACGAAGAAATTCTCCTGTGTCCCAAACTGCCCTGGTTTATATTTGTTGACCTAGGCATGAATAAGGAAGGCTGAAGAATTGCTGCATTTGAATTATGGTGTTGGCAAAGAACATGAACTGTCCCATGGACTCCCAGGAAAACAAGCATCTCTGTCTGGAGAGAAGTACAGCCAGAATGCTCCTTGGAAGACAGGAAACATCGGTTTCATGGTCGTGCACTCAGGAGTTCCAGCCTTTGGAGGACAGCGTGCTCAGTCACGTACAGGGCCAGCAAGAGAAGGACCCTCAAAATGAATGAACACAGTGGCTCCAACACTGGGCTCCAACAGAACGACTGTGAGGATGCGTCGGACCAGGAAGCGTTTGGGCATTTTGTACAGGTCGCTATAATCAGAATCAGCTCAATGGCACCTAACAATGGCAGCAACAATAACCAATGATGAGTCACACAAAAAAGAGAAAGCAACGATGTATATGTTCACTCTGGCTGCTCCAGGTAAAGATTAAGTGAAATAAGAAGCAAGGCAGAGTGCCATGGAAATTACCAGGTTCCCATATTTCAACATACCTTTTTAAAGGAAGATCCCTTGCTGAAATAGAAATTGTACGCACCAGCTAACTTTTGAAGCCTGACGCCACCTTGTGGTCCAAGCCTGTTATTCTGACAATATCTGACAGGACAAGCACAAAGGTGCAGAAGGAACATTAACATTGTGTTTACTGATGAAAGAAATCCCAAGGCAAGAATGAGGTCTGGGCTTCTAACCCACTCCCAGAAAGGGCAATGCAACTCTTGAGACCCTGTAGGTCGGAGTAGAACTGCTCCATTGGGTGGCTCAGACTAAGTCTTAATAGGATAAACAGCCTCATCTTTCTGTGGAGTGACTCAGGGGATTGAACTCCTGACCTTAACAGCACTCAACAGCCTGATGCTCAACCTACTGAGCCACCAGGGAGAAAACAGGACTATAGAACTGCCTTACAGGGTTCCCAAGGCCGAAATTGTTATGGAAGCAGACTGCTGTATCAATCTCCAGAGGTGCAGCTGACCTTTCAGTTAGCAGCCAGGTGCTGTAACTACTGCACCACCAGGTTTCTTCTCTTTGATCCTAGCCTCTAAGATCCTGTAAGGTTTTGTCTGCACTTACAGCTAAAATGTTATTTGAATTTAAGGTCTATCTTACATTGAAGGAGCCCTAATGACAAATTAGGTTAATCATTTAGTTGAGAACTTAAGTCAAAGGCAGAGGTTCAAGCCCTCTAGCTCAGCAGTTCTCAACCTGTGGGTCTTGACCCCTCTGGGGGTCGAATGACCCTTTCACCGCTCCTCTATCGTCTCCAGGGGGGTCACCCACATGCAGACACGTCCACATTTGAGTACCCAGCGTGGACTGTTACCCATACTACAAGCCAAAATTTCATTTACTAGTAATCAGAAATATTTCACATTAGTTTTTGTGATTAATCATGCTGCTTTATGTTCAATTTGTAACAATGAAAATACATCATGCATATCAGATACTTACTTACATTGATTCATAACAGTAGCAAAATTAGTTATGAAGTAGCAATGGAAATAATTTTACGGTTGGGGGTCACCACCACAGGAGGAACTGTATTAAAGGGTTGTGGCATTAGGAAGGTTGAGAACCACTGCTCTAGTCCTTTATGATTTCCTCCCCTTACTATTAAGGTCTTTACGTGTTGTGATACCTCACTTATCCTATGTTCCTTTGTATATTTAATATCGCTCGGTACATGGTAGTCAAGATAGATGACCCTTCAGTGACAGGAGTAATGGTTCCCTGAGGGTACAGGAAGTGGGGGGAGAGGGGACTGACAGCACTGATGATTGTATAACCCCACCCAATAGGATTGACCATAACTCTACGTGAATGTGTATATTGGAATTAGTAAAATGTCAGCTGTAGACTATTATGAGAGGCGCCCCAGTGGCACAGCGGTTACACATTGGGCTGCTAGCTACAAGGTTATCAGTTTGACATCAGCTGCCACTTGTCAGCATCAAGAGGCTCTCTACTCCCGTAAAGTTTTAGTCTAGGAAACCCACAGGGGCCGTTCTACCCTGTCCTGTCCAGTCTAACGGACTCGATGGTGGGGAGTGGGAGTAGACTAGCAATAAAATAACCACAAATCCCTCATGTCAAGGTACACTTCATATTACACATTGTCAAGAGACAGACACCATTTTTGTCTTCATTATAATTTATTCGGTGTAGTTTAAAGAAGTTAAAACAATACAAAACAGACGCTTTAGATATAGAATCAACCATCTTTAAAATAAAAATCGTTGAGAGGCAAGTGATCGTTTTACACACATCCCTCATCTTTACAGTTACATCTTCTTATACAAAGGAACTAGCAACACATGGGCGCGTCGAATTCTTCATAAGCCCATTTGTCAAGCAGCAAGATGAAAATGCGCTGGGAGCACAGCACAGGTGTGCTCTTCAGGGACACCCACGCAGCAGACTTTGGTGGGTGGCTGTGCAGAGAACCAGCCCGGAGAGTAACGCCCAACATTCTTATGGAGCAAGCGGCACATGTACATTAGAGCAAGTGGAAAATGTTCTCCTTTGTGTTCTACGTTGAAAACGACAAGACACTTGAAAAGCAGACAAAAGGAGCTGGAGTTCTAAACTCCAAGACAAAACACTATTCCATTCGTTTCTTGAAAACCTACAAACCAAGCACTGCTCAGTGGCTTTTAAAGGTGAACTTCCTGTACAAAAGCACTTGGAATTTACCAAAGGCTAAAGTGATACTGGTTACATAGTACATTAAAACACAGCTTTTAAGAAAATTTGACTTAAAAAGATTGCATCACTGATGTAAACTAATTTCAAAACTTGTCACTCTTAAAAATGCACTACTTTCCAATCTTTCAACACATTTTGGTTTAAAATGCCCCAATTTTGTGAAACCATCACTTAGTACTCTATATGTTCGGTAAAGTAACATCTTGACATTGTTCTTAAACCTTAAGCATCTGAAGAACTGGGTCAGCAAATGTATGAACTAGTTGTCTACCCGTAACAAGGTATTTCATGTTCTCACTAGAAACATTATTACAAAACCCATTACGTGAATTCTATTTTTAGCTTGGTATGCACATTAGAAACCCACATAAGTCAGACAAGAGTTGCGCTTCTTTGGCACTTAAATGAGCCCAATGCTACCAGTATAACCGCACTGGCAATTTTCACAGAGTTCAAAGCATAAGAGAGCGACATGGGAAGGGTTGGTTGGGAAGAAAATGAAACCATTTATTAGGGTCCTCAATTTCAGACTGAAGCCTCCACAGTGATATACTTACTCCATCCATCATTCTTTGTGAGGATTCAGATAAGACTAATACTTTGTTTTTAATGCTCATAAAAAAGTTAATAGTATACACAGGGTAGCCCGTGTACTGAGAGACTGAAAATGCACTTCTGACCTAGTTCTAACAAGCTCACTGCAAAAGCACTCAACAACATGAAAAAGGTACGGGCCACTGTTCACAAACACAACCGAGTTTTTAAAAAGTGAATTAACTTGCAGGGTTTTCCTATTGCTATGTGACCTTTTTAACTTCCTTAGTTGAAAATTAAAGTATGGTGAATGTGGGCCATTAATACATTTTGGGGTATATTTCTCAAGTAAATTAACCATGAAATATTTTAAATTTTCATAAAAAGGCAGTCTTAGAAGTGTAAAGCCTATACACAATACCAACATGTACGCCTTTACATGAATCCACATCCAATAATTTGGGGGTGGCCCTTTGCCGACTTGGAGGGATGTCAGTCATGCTCTCTTTAATGCTGACAGAACCTAAGTTCTGCTGGAATGTTCTCAGCAAGTATTATTACCTGTAAGATATACTCACTGTAAGGCAGTGCACGGCTCCAAATGCTGGACTCGATTTAGATGTAACTGTCTAGGCATTAATTTTTCCCAACCGATTATCATTTTAATGTGATATTTAGCCAATATGAGGCGTGAAAATTAATGCTTGGAACTCATGTCAGTTTTGTTAATTAATCTTCACTCACACAAAAATAGAAAATGGCCCCCAAAGGAAATAAAGACTGTCCCGACTCTGAGCTGCCAGGGATTTCCCCCTACAAATTATTTAAAACTGAAATTAATGCTCTCTGAATTCGCTTAGCATAGCCAAAGAGCTACCATGACAGGAAAGGGATGCCGCTGGGAATACGACTTGGGGCCGATCAAGTAAGCTGTGACTGTGTAAACAAAACCATCAGCACGAAGTACAAGGTATCAAATAGAACTGCATACCATCATGAAACAGAGGCACCATTTTACAGCGGCCAGTCTTGGAGCAAACGAAAGTTAAAAACCATAAAGACCTTCAATTAAGAAAATAAATGGGCTTTGCAATTCATTCTTCAAGAGCCATTAACTAATAAATAGAACGTTTTCCAATCCCCATCGCTCTTAAACAGTCCGTCCAGAGTTCAGGTAAGACAATCAATGAAAACCCGGCAAGGGTTGCTTTAGTTCAGTTCAGTGGGCATTGTCACTCACTATTTTTCCCCTCAATACCATGTACCTTGGAGGTCCTAATCATTGAATTGCTCCTTGGGATAATTTACTTTCCCCACGACACACACGCATTGAACATAGTTTTCCCATACAAAGGGAGTAATTGCCCCGGCTCCTCCCACATTTTTAGGGTTTTTTTGATTCTGAAATTAACTACTCTAAAATCCTAAAGAGGTCACCTCCTCACCTCAGAGGGTAAAAAAAAAGCACACTTCATAGAAAATAATTATTTTAGCAACAAATAAGTCAGAATTATGTTCCCCAATAAATAATTGCTATACTAGAAAGAAAACTGAATTCACAAATAACATTTTTAATCTAATCTAAGGGGCTATCAATTGTTTAAAATGCACCATAGATACTAAGAAAAACCCTGCCAACTGATTGTAGCACAATGCTTTCTTACTACACCGCAGGTGTATTTATATTTACTGAAAGAGCTCTTTCAAGAATGAAACTGACCCAAAGGGCTAGGTTATAACTATCATTTCATATTCCGAGTCCTCCTCTTCTGAATCACTCTTCAAATCAGTCATCCACGGCCGCCCTATCCCACAGGCTGGTGATGCAGTATTGCCTAAGTGTGCGCTCTACCACTGTCTGCTATTTAATGCCGGCAGGGAGCTCTGGGAAAAGTGATGCTCGGCACCATAGCGGCAGCCTGCTGGCCGCATGAAATCCGTCACACCAACTTGTTGCTCTGAATGTTATTTCATCTATTCCAAGGGTTTTGGTAATTTCTCCTGCCTTCAACGCATCGCTTGACATGGGACAATCTTTCTGCATGCATCTCACTGACAAAGTGCAGCACAGCTTTATTTACTTGAGGGCATCTTCCTTTCTCGGGTCCTGTAAAACACTGTCATTGCTTTCCAAGAATGTGGAACTGCAGTCAGTCCTCAAGCGACGGCTATTGGACACGCTGGTCAAATGTGCACCAGGCTGCCCTGTTTCCATGCTTGTCAGACACACAATGACTTTTTGATCCACTGCTGAATCACAGGGCAATCTTTTTGAAGACATTTTTAAGCGCAAAGTAAACCTGACAGGTCTGATATCAGCAACACACAACTCCGTTCAAGTGATGGCATTATGAGAAGCTATGACCTGGTGCCTACGCTACGATGACAAGTTAAAATGTAAAGAAAAAAACATAAAAACATACATTTCAGGGCTAATCAAATATGGGTGTTCAATCCTGTAATGTTTACCATATTTGCACCAGTGCAAGAAAAAGTCTGAGCGCCCAGGAACATGAGTAGAACACTAGTAAAGCTAAAAGATTATTTTATGATGAAATGGTCCAATTTGGTTTCAATTCCCTTTATTTTATATGGCTTACATATAATTTTGTAATTGAACTTATAATCCAAATACAAATGTTCTTCTTTAAGTAAATTTTAAAACCAAGTCACTAAAGACAAAGGCTCCCAGTCGGCCTTTACCATCGGAGAGCAAAGAGCCGCACTGGGGTCAGCGGCCGTCCTCAGCAGGGGCCTTCCTTTGGCGCGTGGATCTGATCCTGTGTTGAGAGGGTGAAGTGTCTGCTTCTGCTTCCAACCTTGACGGCTCATGATCTCCCTCCTGGGATCCTGTGTCTCCCACCAGTTCCCGCAGAAACTTGAATTTGGACAAAAATAGATGCCAAACAAAATACCAACCTACAGAGACAAAAATATTAACAAAAAACTTTAGACACAGGCTACATATTCAGAACACAAAAACTAATTAGGAAAAAAAACTAATGAGGACTAAGGAGTATGTTACAAACAGTATATGTAATATAAATAAATATACAAGCAAATATCTATTTAATATTGACTAATAAACACAGATTATGTGCAAGGGATAAGGATAACCTTTACACTTATAGAGTGGTAGCATACAGTTTCTGCTCTTAGGAACCCTGGGATCCAAACTTGGTCCATCTACTAAAATTGTAGGGCTGGTAGTACTCTACATGAAATGTGCAAAGACTTGGAGCATTTGTCAAGCTAAAGGAATGGACACGCAAATGAAAGCCTCACGGTAAAGGGCTCTGTGGGCAAAACAACCCCCAGAACGGGAAGAGCCCACAATATCGAGAACTAGTCAACAGTGAACCGTGTCAGAAGGTAGCTTAGGCTCAAGAACCGATGGTATTGAAAGAAAATGTCCAAGCTGCATGGAAGGCACTAGCCGAAAACAAGACTCCAGGAATTAAAAGACAATAATTGAGATTATTTCAACAAATATAAGTGGATTTGTTTATGCCGAGAAACCTGCAGGATAGCTATCTGGCCAATGGATGGTAACACTGAGAAAACCAGAAGTTCCAGAACTTAACTGCATGCGAGGAACCTGTACATAAACCAAGAGGCGGTCATTGGGACAGAACAAGGGGACACTGTATTGTTTAAAATCAAGAAAGGTATTGTCAGGGTTTCAGTATTTCACACACTACTTATTCAATTTGCCAACTGAACAAGTAATCTGAGAAGCTGTACTATATGAAGATGGCTTTGGACCAGGATTGGAAGGCTCATTAAGAACCTGTGATGTGCAGAACATAATCTTGCTTGCGGAAAGGACTTGAAGCACTCACTGAAGAATATTAAAGAAAGCCTCCGATGTGCATTACACTTCAACATAAAGAAAACAATTCTTACAAATGAGACAAAGAAATATTTGACATTAACAAGGATTTCATTTTCCTTAGCTCCACAATCAATGTCCATGGGAAGAAGCAGACAGAAATTAAATGACTCATTGCATTAGACGCACCTGCTGCAAAAGACCTCCTTATTTAAAGTACTAAAAACCAAGGATGTTACTTTGAGGGTTAAAGTGTGCCTGATCCACGCCACAGGATTTCCAATCCCCTCAGATGCATGTGAAAACTGAACAATGACTAAGGAAGACCGAAGGACTGGCACCTTTAAATCAGTTTTGTGGAGAATGTCATATTCATGGACCTGCAGAGGAAGCACCGACAGAACACTTCTTTTAAGGGAGGCTTAAGTCCCCTATATTTTGGACATGCTCTCAGGATGATCAGTCAGGGAGAGAGGACATCTTTTGGGTAAGGTAGAGGGTCACTGATAAGACTCTCAGGGAGCTGGATGACCAGCGGCTGCAACAATGATCTCAAACATATCATTTGTGAGGATGGTTCCGGGCTGGGCAGTCTTCTGTTTTGCTGTGCTTGGGATTGCTATGAGTCGCAATAAACTTGACAGAACTTAAGAACAAAGTAAAGGTGTTTATTATATTAAGATGAAAACTGTTGGTACGTTTTCCTGAGTAAGCACCTTTAACGTTTGCCTCAGTATTCATACCTCAATACTATTTAACAAAAACAAGTTTGCTTGGATCAGAAAGTCACTACAATTCAATGGTAGGAGTCAACTGCACCATAGTGAAAAGTCATCAGCCAGGACCAAGCTATGCGTAAGATGCTAGAAACAATCAATTTCCAGACGAAATTTTTACTTTTCTTTCATTGCATCACCATCTTAAGTTCAAGATTAAATATATATATAGTATTTTCATGTCAGATCTCTAAAAAGTCCTTTTAAATAGCAATTAATCAAGTCATAGTTGATATTGCAAGGAATTTTAAATTCACTAAGCTGTAGATGTCCACCAATAAGGAACAATCAATAAAGGAGTGCACGGGATAAAGCCTGAACCTATAATTGATTGTTCTGAAATATCAGGAGCATGAAATAAACCAAGGAAACCATGGTCACACGGGCTTCCATGCTAACATGCTTGCTTAATGCTGTTCTTTAAACATCCTGGCTTCAGAAAAAAGTAATCATAGCATATTTAAACTTGATTACAACAAAATCCAACCAGCTCTTCACCTCGATATTATCACAGGAATCCTGAACCTGCAATCAGACCAAGATAAATGGGCAGTGGAAGAAAGTTTGTTTTAATTTACTGCTTTCTTACAGTCTCTAAGAAAGGATTAGCATCCATGCCTTGCCTTACTCACCTTCAGATATCTGAACCATTCCTAAGGTCTGTGCTTTCCTTTGCACTCCGGTCCCAAGTGTTAACTGAGCATGGCAAAAATACTGTGGGTCAAGTGTATGTTGGATAAAAACATACACTTATTTTCATGGAACTGCAAATTACTATGCTCTCCTGCCATTCTTGAAATTCTTTATAAAACAGGGACAGCAACTTAGTGCAAAAACACTAGGTGCAAAGGTACCTTAGTGCCAGGCACAAAGAACCACTGACCAAGTGTTCACCCTGGGCTGGCGTGCCTTCTGCTGTTTTACTAAATTGTCTTTTTGTACTGAAATATGGTTCACATACCATAAAATTCAACCCTTTAGAAGTGTGAAATTCTGTAGCTTTTAGTATACTCACAAGGTTGAGCAATATCATTTCGTCGTTGTTAGGTCCCGTTCTGACTCAAATCAGTTCTGACTCAAAGCCAACTTACGTGTAACAAGCAAACACTGCCTGGTCCGGTGCCATGCTCATACCATTGCTATGCTATGGTTGCAGCCAATGAGTTAATCCATCTCAGTGAGGGTCTGCCTCTCTTTCAATGGCCCTCTACGCTAACAGGTCAAAAATACAGGAGACTACGGGCTGCCACCCTTGCCATCAACGGGCATTCTGGCTGTACTTCCAACGCCGATTTGCTTGTTCTTCTGCTGGTCCACAGTATATCCAGTATTCTACTCCAGCAAAGCTGATTCAAAGGCATCAACGTTTGTTTGTGTCCCTCATTCACTATCCAGCTTACACATGTATGGATGACATGAAAATACCATGGTTAGGGTCACCTTGGTCCTCAAAGTGACGTCTTAGTTTTTTAACACTTTTCAGTGGTCTTTTGTAGATCTACATCCTTTGATTTCCTGAGTGGTGCTTCTATGGACATTGATTGTGGATCCAAGGAATAGGAAATCCTTGGCATTGACAAGGTCTTTTGTTTCTATTCTATGTTAAGGTATAAACCACAATGAAGGCTGCAGTGTTTGCTATTTATCGGTAAGGCTTCAAGTCCTCTTTATTTTCAGCAAGCAAGGTTGTGTCATATGACCAGCTACAAATGAGTCATCCCCCAATCCGGAAGTCCCAATGTCTCAGATTTTTTGTTCAGCACACAGGCTGAATAGAGGTGTAAGTGGGTAAACCAAATACAAAGTATCTCTAGTAGAGTTCCAGTTCCAACAGAGACAGGGTTTCTTTCTAACACAGTGGGTTTACTAGTTCTCTGCGACCAGTGGATGGCTGCAGACAAGTTCTCTCAGGAAGACACTTGTTTTAGTCTCGCTACAGTTCCTTCAAAACAAAAGGTCCAATCAAAACAGTGGTTTCCAAAGGGATCGGATGGGTCAGTTAAATGCAAAGCAGAGAGGTCAGCTCAGTCCCAGAACCACTATTTTCTGGGACTTCCAAAGGGTGGTCTTGATTTTCTTGAAGGACTTAGACCTAGGGGGTTATTAGGAAATTTTGATCACCGTTGAGTCCCTTGCAGATTGCTCTTTACATGGGGATTCATCAAAAAGCACAGAATTCCTTTGGGGGATGGGCTAGAGAGACAGAAGCAGTCTTTTTTTTAAAGCACAGTCTTCAGAAGTGTAGAGACGGAGATGAAGAATGTGTTGGGACACAGCAACTTCACATTTTGATAGTTTTACTAAACACAGGCTTCCGTGATTATGGAGAAATGCTGTTTCCTTACCCATCTATGCTAAAAGTATATAACTTGGAAACACAACATTCCTGATTGTAAGCCACCCAGGAAATCCTTGTTCTATTCCAACAGCCTCTGGGCCTTTGTTAAGGAATTATCTTGAGACCCTTGTTGAAAGATAATTGGCCAAAATATATGAGCTTATTTCTAAACCTTTAAGTCTATTCCATTGATCTATATACGCTTTTCCTTACGCCAACACTACTGCAGTTTTAATGTAAGTTTTGAAATCAGAACGTGTCAGTCCACAAACCGCTCTTCTTTTTCAAGATTGTTTCGACTGTTGTAAGATTTATTTCCATGTGAATTTTAGAAGCAGCCTGTCACTTCTGCAACCACAACAACGAGAAAAGGTAGCCAAGCTGATAGGGTCTAACCTCAATCTCGATGTCAATTTGGGATCCAGTCTGGTTTTAAACACTACTCTGTACTTCCCAAATTTTCCACAACGATTACACAGGGTTTTGATAAGGAGGAAACTTAGGAGAAAAACAAGTATAAGACTGATGTCTAAATCATACAACATTCTGTAGACTTAATATACTTATAAAGACTGGTGTGCCATTACTTGGTCTAAATTAATAATGCCAGTTGATTTCAGCAGATACTAAGGGAAACTTCTCCCAGGGTCAGTTAGGTTAACTATACTAAAAGTTTAGAAAATGCATTCACCTGAGGTGAATGGAGACCGAAGATGAATGTACGATCAGGAAAATTGTAACTCACCTCAAAGTGATGACCATAACTTCATAAACTTAGACCAATGATTCCAAGAGTGACTACAGGTATAAAATGTCCCAGAAACAACAGAGAGAGGATGCTTTTGACTGAAAAGGTCAATGGGGAGGGGTCGTCACCCCAGGAGTTGGTATAAAATACTAAGAGAAAGCAAAGACTTCCAAGCATAGAAATCTACAGAATAAGGAACAGCTGGGCGATGTAAAGATATTTGCA